TGTATCCCTGAAGGGCTGCATGCATTGGAGAATGCAGAAGTGAGCTTGACATCTGGGCTCTGCTATGGGATTCTTGACACTGGATTCAGATGGGATCACAGGAAAAGCAGATGGGCTGTGATGCAGCTCATATGAGAGGCCTGGCAATTTTGGAAGTGCAGAGGTTGCTGGCAAAGCACTTAGATATTTCAAGATGTAGAAAGAAATTCAAGCCAAATTGAGAAAACTAACAGAAAACTAAATACATGCTGAGTGGTAAGGTAAGCGAAGCGAGACCAGCGACAGTCACCACCACAGCAAACAATCCATCACTGAGCAATATGTACTAGATTACGTACCAGTGTTATATACCAGATGCCAGGGATACACTGTTATGAAACAGTTCAATAGATCATTGGCTGATCAAAGGTAACACACCTATTTAACTTTTTTCTGAGTTTCCCTCCAGACTAATTTTCAACTTCATTTGTGCTACAGGAGTTCGAATGCCTGTATATACTGCAGTCACTTCCCAGGTCTGCAGCTATTCTAATCAAGACATGCACACACACATGCATATTTACAGAACATAGGTTTTGCTTCAGAAAATAATACCAATTTTGTAAATAGGCTTTGTTCTTAGATCTAAGAAAAAGGAAACTTTATATTCCTTTAGGAAGATGATAAGGCAATACTAAATATCTGTTTTGTTCTTAACTCTTTCACCTAATAATGCCTAACATGCTATTTGCTTTTCTGGCAAACATTCATAACATCTTCACAGAATTATCTATTATAGCTCCAGCATCTCCCACAGGTTAATGTAATGTAGTTTATTGTCCTCCCACATTACCCATGACGTGAACATTAGGTCTGCTTTTTCCCCTTTACATGTGATAGGGGAGCACATATCAGCATGTAATACACTTTGTCACTTCAGGCTGCAGCCTGGCCTTGCAGATCTTTGGCATTAGCTCTCGTTACTCATGCAAGATCTTCAATGGTGACATTTCTTTTATGAGAAATAGACCAGACCAAACTCAAGTACACCAGACCTGATCTCCTTTGCCTTCATGTTCACTGATTTCTTTGAAAAATAATTACAGGAGTGTGGAACATGATTTCTTCTTGTGAAATCACAAGCCCTATTTAGTCCATTTTCCCAGCAACTCTCAGCTCTACTGTGGGTCCTATCAACTTGCCATATGGGCATTACTGGTCTGAAGTTCCCTGTATCTCCACAGAATGCTTTCTAAAACTTAGTGGCGTATTTGTGACCTTCCATTCCTCTAGCACTAAGGCAGTTTTTAGTGAAAAAATATAAAGTACAGTTCATAGTTCAGCCATTTCATCATTTGAGTTTCCTTAGAACTCTTGGATGAATACCATCTGTCCTGTCATTTTGTTTCAAGACCTTTTACATTTGGATTTGAGACAGATGCTCCAACATACCTCTTCCATTAGAAAATTTTGTCATGAAAACTTCCTGAAGCTCCTCTATAAGGTTAAAAAAGAAGTTTTCTTTTCCTGAAATCTTCTCTAGGCATTGCTACTATATCTTGAGCATCTATTGTCCCTCGGACAGCCGTCTTGGTTCTGATGATGCCTTGGTTTTGGGTGAGTTAATTTTCTTCCTAGTAGCTGGTACAGTGCTGTGTATTGGATTTAGGATGAGAATAATGTTTACAATACACTGATGGTTTAGTTGTCACTAAGTCAAGGACTTTTCAGCTTCTCATGCTGCCCTGCCAGCAAGGAGGCTGAGGATGCACAAGGGGTTGGGAGGGGACAGAGCCAGGACAGCTCGCCCACACTGACCAAAGGGATATTCCACACCATGTGGCTCAGCATGTAAACTAGGGTGAAAGCTGTCTGAGGGCCACTGCTTGGGAACTGGCTGGGCATCTGTTGGTGGCAAGAAATTGTTTTTCATTTGCATCACTAGTTTTTCTTGGGGTTTATTTCTGGGTTTTTTATTTTTCCTTTTCATTATATTTTTATTGATATTTTGTTTCAATTGTTAAATTGTATTTATTGCAAAACATGAGGTTTCTTGCTTTCACCCTTCCAATTCTCATCCCCATCCCACCGTGTGGGGGATCAAGCAAGTGGCTGTGTGGGGCTTGGTTGCTGTACAGGGTTAAACCATGACAGGTGTTTGAAATGTGTTATTGGTCCATCTGTTTTCTCAAGTTGCCCTGATGCTCTTTTTCCTTGTCACATATTGCTGTGTCTGGCCTGACAATGTGCTGTTTTTTTCTGGTTTACTGGTTTAGACAACTTGAACTTTCTAAAGACTGTTTTCCTGCATTTGTTACTCTCTTATTCCTGCTCTTTATTAATCTTATTTTTGGTGGGGTTTTTTTGGTCTACTTTACTTGGGGTATGCCTTTATGCTGGACCTCTAGTGCACTGTGAGCAGTCTCCCTGATGCCTGCAATCATTTGGGGCATCCCGTTTAGATTTGATTTGAGACAGACCTCCCAGGTCACCTCCAGTGAAAAGTTTCCAGTGAGTTACTTCATAAGATTGTCCATATTGAACACTGATGTGAAAAAGTAATTTAGCTTTTCATCTATGGCCTTATCTTTTCTGAACATTCCCATTACACTTTGATCATTTATTAGTCCTTTCCAGCGAACGCTCACAGATGGACACTATCTGAATCCCCTGGCCTGACATACCACACTTTTTAAAGTTCAGTTTGAAAGTAGTGATTTTCACTAGCTCTCTTCCATTTGCCTTTATATTCAACATCCTTCTCATCAAAAGGACAAGATACTATTTTTTTTAAAAAGCTAATTATCTTTAGTCATGACATCATTACCAGGTGACAGATGCAGAGCTTTGCTGTGGCTCGCTGCAGCTCATGCTGACATGGCATGCACACAGTGACCTGTGTCAGATGTTGGGCAGGCTACAGAACAGTGCAATAGCCGGGTTTTTTTGCAATAAAGATCTCCCCAGCAGACAGGATATACTTGTAAATGAGATCAAAACCAAAAGTAACCCAGAGGTAGTGTTCCATAGAGCATCGTTAGGATGTGGGACAAGAGAGTGGCAACACAAAGCAGTTCTGCACAGATTTGTGTAGAAGTTGTGCTGATGCAAAATTAGCCAATTATTGCCAAATGAAATAGAACCCGTTGAGGAAAATATTAGAATAGCTCCCTTATACTGAATTATCTCAAGATATGCTCTTATTCTGACATGGTATTTAAAATTCTGTAACCTGTGCAGCTTCTAGGACACCTGAAGGGTTATATTTTGTTTCAATTTAAAAGCACTTGAGTAGAAGTAAAAAAACATTTCAAATAATCAAATCAGTCAATTTACTCTGACAACACTGCTCCACTGCAGAAGATTATTTAAATCTAATCAGAAAGACTTTGTGAAGCATCACTGTTCTGCACAGGGAAGGAGCATGAGAACTGAGGGGTGATGATGGTGCATTTCTATAGGGAAATCTGAACAAGATATGCTGACAATGAGTGAGACCAGTATAGTCTCAGCTACACTCTGTGACAGAGAATTGCCTCTAGCTGGAAGAATTTTTGAGTTAAGGATACAGGTGCTGTAGGAATGCAAATTCTACAGGAGAAAATACTCTTGAGCACTGGAGGTACTGTGCAAAGAAACACTGCCACTTCATTTCAGCCTGCGGCTTCCCAAAATCTGAGCTTGCAAAATGGAGCCATGGATCCTGCCTGTGCTGAGTATCTCTGGCAGGTCCAGCATGTCAAACAGCAGCTAATCCTTCTGATACTACTTTAAGTATCTCAGGGGCAGGGTGAGGAGGGAAAAACAACTCTGGGTTTCTAAGGCTCTCAAAGATTAGTACCTAACTCGGTATAAAAATGTTTGAATTGCCTTTAGTTACTTTATTTCCATACTTAGAGGAATATAGTGTTTTTGTCAAGGCTCTTGTTTTAGAAAGTGCTATGTTATCATTAACCTACCACAGTGACATTTACCACAGTTATAGTGCTGAAAACACTTTTTTATCTTACGATGTAAGATAAAGTACAGTGACGGGACACAAACTTATTTCAGAAGTTGATGGACAATAGGGAGAGAGTTTAAACAAAAAACCCTGGAAACCTGCCCTTTATAATAGTCAATTTTTTAGATATCACATGTGTTTCAGGGCTGGGCTTTCAAAGGCTAGTAAAAGCTATTTCCTGGTATTTACCTCAACAAATGAAACTTAAGCTATTTAGTTTAGCTACGGGATCTCCAATTTCCCACTTGCAAATATTGTTAGATATCTAGATTAAGACTTTTAAATTACTAAAGTAAAAAAAGCTAAAGCCAGGAAATAGTGTAACTGGTGATACTGTTACCACCACAATCAGGAACATATCAGGAGCACATGTTCTCTACAAATGCCTTCTCTCCTTTCTGCAGGAATCTATTGGCATGTGTGGAGATGACATTCCAACATTTTTCATGCTGTTCTGCAAGCTGTGTATTTTATGGGAAGCCACTAATACTGGGGCCAGGGTGAGAGGGAAGTAGGCAACATCTGGGAAGGCATGGCTCTAACCACATCTGTCTTAGAGCCAGCCTTCCTGTCCTGATACGGACAGCAGAAAAGGCTAGCGACCCTGAGCTCCGGGGGAGAAAGTTCCAAAGATTCACTCATTATCAGCTACTACACGGAAACAGAACTCTAAGACCTGTACTTCAGTAGTTTGGGGAAAGAAAACAATCCAGCAATAATTATCAGCAAGTTCAGCACTTGGAATTAGTGGGGTTTTGTCACTCACCAGGCAATATAAGCAAACGGTAGCATAAGGAAAGCATCAATCACAACTAGTGGGAGTAGTTGTGGGAGAGGAAATCGTGGTTAAAAACGTTGAGACACCTGTATAAGCTCCAGGAGTCAACACTTAAAGAGACTTGCCAGTTTTGCAGTAACAGCAACAGCCCAAGGACACTGCAAAGCACTTTCTTGCGTGGGACTCCAGCATTCCAGGAGTGCCCAACCTCTCAGAAATATCACCAATACACCAGTACTCATGTACAACATTTTATTACAAAACTTTTAGAAAAAGTAATACAATGCAACAATATTCTACAAAATATAAGATCAGCTATTAAGCTACCTCCTTTGTTTTACTTAGCTATAAAGAAACACCTGGCTATCAGTCACTGAATGTCAACAAAACCATTAAATATGCAGAAACATTCAACAACTTTTATTCTGTAAAAAAAAAAAAAAAATGAACTGTAGCAGCCCTCAGCTACTACTTACATTAAAAACAGAGGTCTCCCTACAAAGAACCACATTACCTATACACAATTCTGTACAGATTTTTATACTGAAGTTAACAATGAGCTGCACTTGAGTTCACATTCTTAGCAAAATATTGGATTTTGCGCATAAATCTTTACAGCAGGACATTCATTTATTCCTCATCCTCATCATCTTCTTCCTCTTCCTCCTCTTCTTCCTCTTCCTCCTCCTCCTCTTCTGGTTCTGCTTTCTTCTTAGATCCTGCAGGCCGACCTGGGCCCTTTTTTCCTGCATCGCTCTTGCTCTTGGCACGATATGCTGCAATATCCTGCAAGAAAAACACTGTTAAGTTGCTGGCAATGTAACTCTGAAGACAAATTTGTACTGCTTCAGTAACTCAGTAACACTGCACTGTGCAGACCAAATCCAGCATGCACAGAAAAGCAAGGTTTTCAACCCTGGGACTTTAGGCAAGAAAACGCATGATCCAGACAGTTCTAGCAGTTTATGACCACAGTGCATTTGGAGTATGACTGCGTGTTTATTTTAGCAAGCAGGTGACCTGTTTTCTGGAAGTAAAGCATCTTATTGGCAAAATCTCTAGACATGCAAAAACCCATCTAGGTTCACTGTAAGGACACCAGACACCTCCCCCTGCCACACCTCTCCACGCGTTCTGAAGCCTGACAAAGCTTGACATAAGCATTTAGAATTATGAACCACATGTGGTTTAGGTGCAAAACACAAGTCACACATTTACAGTGAGCTCTAGAGCTTTGACCATTATTAGTTTATTGTTCTTGCTGTACCTTTTCATACTTCTCCTTTAGTTTTGCAGCCTTCTGTTCATATGGCTGTTTATCTTTGGCCGACTGTTCGGACCACATTTCACCTAACTTCTTTGCTGTATCTCCGATAGACAAGCCAGGATGGTCATTTTTGATTTTTGGACGGTGTTCAGAACAGAAAAGGAAGAATGCAGATCTACAATGAGACACAGTGATCAGAATTTATTATCAAACTAGTCTAACTTTTTCCTGTTTTTCTGGAGGGATGTGGGGGGGGGTGATAGAGACACTCACGGTGGTCTTTTAGGAGCGTTTGGGTCCTTTTTCTTTCCCTTCTTCTCGCCTTTGGGAGGAACGTAGTTTTTCATCTCCCGGTCATAACGAGCTTTGTCTCCTTTAGCCATTTCTTCAAACTTTCCTTTTTCCTTGCTCGACATTGTCTGCGGACACACGGAGGGGAAAGGAGCACAGTCTGGATCAGATAAAGCGCTGCTGACCCACTAACGCCTAAGCAGCAGCTGCCGGCAGGATCCT